ATTTTCTGAAACGATGACATCATCAGCCCATGTCTCGCCCCTAGTCAGACACCGCTACGTCACGTAACAGCAACAAAAACATGAACAAACACTGAATGATTGTCTTTTTATTAACTAACATTAACACAGATTAATAAATGTATTGTTCCATGTTCGTTTGCATACCGCGCGCAAGGTTTATGCGCATAGTCTGAAGTCTTCTTCTCCGTTTTTAGTGTATCTCTGTGGCAGAATGACAGCGCCACATACTGGTCTGGCATGTATACTACATCGTTTTGTGTCGGTTTCGCGGTTTCATGTGGACGCAGATATTTCTTGAGACGAGGGAAAAAAAAAGATTGGATAGGGAAAGCTCGGGCTTCGTGTGGACGTAGCCTAAGATACAAGTGTGTTTACACTTCAGAGTCGATGGTGAAAATGAGCATTTAGCACAGCTGAAGACTGTCACAGCTCATTGTGGACTGAGATTGTGATTGCAGGGTGAGAGGAAGACAGCATACCTGTTCATCGTGGAGAGCCTGTGTCCGTTTGGCTTTACTTTGCCGATAGTACTCCATGATCATCATGGCAGCATAGATCTTTCCCACTGTCAGGTCTGTCGCTGCTGAGAAAAGGACAAGTTACCCTGCACGATTAGACAAGGTGAGATGGACCCTGAGCGAGGGGGATGGGAGTGAACACGGGACGTGCACAAGACAAACGCAAACGCACAAACTCACATGCACAAACAAAGAGTGTCAAATCGACACGCACACAGAGCCAATGGTCTTTTCACAAGCAGACTGATTAAAATGGCTAAAACTATTTACGCACTTCATTTTTATGATCAATATCTGAAATACTCTGTTTCTACTATTTTAAGTGCAAAAGTATTGCAGGAACTGACAGCCAACTACAGCATAATTCCTAGATACAGTAAACAAAGTAAAATGGTCTCCCAAAAAACGGTCCTTGCCGTTTTATGGAACAGAGTCCACATGGAGAAGTTACTAAGAGTAACTTCAGACTAGGTCTACATGCCATGCTTAGTGGTGTTTAAAGCCATGATCACCACCTCTGTATAGGATCTACATAGAACAATGAAGATAAAAAATTAGCATCAAACAATACAGTTCTAAATTACTACATGCTTGCTGCAAACTCATCTAAAACATACTTTCATATTACTAGCATTATGATTTTGCCAAAAGCTTTATTGCCTAATGTGTGACAGCAATGCCACCTCATTATCTCATGCTTTATTTGTAGCATCTAGCTAGCATTAGACTAGCTAGTTTTAAGCAAATCTCATAAGATTAGCACATACATTTCACTGGTAGCATATTAGTGGTGCAATATTTTTATTTATTTTTTATTATATAATACTGTTTTACGTACATCTTGTCAGGAATCTCATAACCCCTGTAGTGAAAAGACATCTATAGAGGGTTGATCTATAGTAAGGCACCCCCTGGTCTCAGGCATAGTGAGCTGGACATACACAAATGTGTGTTATCAATGTCTTTTGTAGCACTTGAACATAGACTGTCTTAAAATATCTTTGTTAATATGTTTGTGTGCAAATTTGCAGTTGCACGTAGGGGGAGGGAAGGAGCTAAACTTGCTAAAGCTAAAGGCAACACGTGCTCGTAAAACAACTTTCAAGGCTTTTTTACTGCACTAAAGCCCAAAGTAAGCACAAAGTAATTCAGTATTTATGTGCACACTAGGGTATGCGTATAGTGTGTATGAGGTAAATTATTTTCATTATGCTAGTAGCCTACAGCAGATTTTTCTAACCGGGCATACAACAACAACAAACTACTGGAGACGACAACGACAATAGACGACTACGTTGACAAACGCTTATGTGCAGACCTTCCAAGATAACCAGATCTACAGTTTAAACTAGTACAAAGGCATTTTTATTGCTCATAACTTTTGGAGAGAATTAGTGCAGACACTGGACAAGGGTAAAACTTTCTAGTGTGCATGTGTCTTGCTTCTGTGTTAGCGCACACTATCAAATGGAGTATACTTTGAAAGGCTATGTGTTCAGCTGTTCACAACAAAAACTCAAGTATCCCTTACGCAACTACTCTCTTAGTTCATTTGCATGTATAGGCCTTGCATCTATTTATACGTCCTATGCAAACTGCAATCAGCAATGTTTGCACCATTATTGGATTTGAATAATACTTTCTGCATCACTTTCAGTGTCTACAATTCATTCTCAGTGAATTTCTTCTTCTGTGATCAGTCTGCAGTCTAAATGTGTGTGGTGAGTTGGTGGGTTTTTGTTAAATGTGAGCCAAAATCATCACAATTAAAAGAACCAAAGACTTAAACTATTCAGTCTGTGTGCATTGAATTTATTTAATACACGAGTTTCACAATTTGAGTTGAATTACTGAAATAAATGAACTTTTCCACGACATTCTAATTTATTGAGATGCACCTGTATATGTAAGGGCCTAAAATGAAACTAAGGGAGCAGGCCTGGACCATCAGGGGGTGCAGAGCAGTGAGTGGGCCGGCTGAGAGAAGCTGTCCTCGGGTGGTAAAAGAGAGACATTGTGAACACACCAACCTCCTAGGTAACTTACACTTGTGGGGTGTCACCAGAAGGTCCAGATTCTTCTGAGATAGATTGGGCCATATCGCCATCATCTCCTTCCTTAGTTCAGCATCCATCTGGTGCTTATCTACGCCTCCTATTTACACAGCAACAGGTACACGTACACACATATATGCAAACATATTTCCACAAACACACACACAAATTTTTGTTAATGTTTGAACAATGTATTATCCAATTGTATGTAGAAGTACTGTGTACAATATCTTACAAATATTTATTCTACGAGTCATTATATTAAAGTGGGGTCCCAAAGTCCTCTTATGAGGAAGTTTTTTTTTTTTATTATTGAGGTTTGACTTTCCAAGTTTAGACTAGATTTGAATTTCAGACTTTTGAACCCCACTGTACTTAAACAGCTATAGGCAAATACATCAACCGTTCAAACAACAGGAACGAATGAGGGAAGAAAGAAAAAAGGAGGGCCAAACCTTCCCCACCCTTGGCGATCTTGATGTCTAGAGCGGTTCGGATTAAGGCCATAAGGGTGGAATTAAAGTGCACTGTGTTGTCATCGGCAACTGGTAGATCCATCCGCAACAGTCTCTGTGGAGAGCCAATCAGGACCAGTTAGAAGAGCAGCGCTACTGAAATATATGTGTGCTTTGAACCTCCAGGTAGGGTGTGCTTTTGGTGTGTGAGAGGAAATGGGAGGGGAAAGGAAGGAGGGATTTTCAGGGTTAGCTCTGTGACCTTTGATACTCAGTGCAAGAATTTAATTAGAGCTGTTTTAGTGTGGTAATCATGGCTAAAGAGGAGACTGATTAATGGTTTATGAGACTGCTGTGGAAGTTGTGGAATAGTTCTGTGGTCTAGAACAGTGGCTCTTAACTGGTTGGTGAAAACCCAAAAATGGGTTGCAGGTCTGTTCTCAGAGAACAGCAAGCAAAAAAAAAAAAAAACATATATGCTTAATGCATATAATACAAACACAACTAAAACAATTGCTTACAGTCAGATATGGCAAAAATAAATAGGCTTATCCACTTTTTTTAAAAAGTGAGAAGGAAATGATTGTCTTTTGTTGTTGACCTCAAAGGCTGTTTAATCAAACAGCATTTTACTTTCTACAAATTCATTTGTAATTTGGTGAATTTTCACCAAATTAGCAAGATGCCAACAATGACAGTTGGTGTGACATGACCTCACTCTCAAAAATCATGAACAAAACTATGTCACTAAGGTAAAACAATAAAAAAAAGAACAAAATCAAATTATATACAATTTTAATTTCAACAAGGATAAGCAGACTTGTACCAATCACAATGTATTTTGTACAGTGAATTATTGGCTAAATAAATAAATAAATAAAGGTCAATGCTTGCTTTTAAGGATATTATTGCTAGCTTTGTAAAATCTGGGTCCTGAAGCAAAACCAGTCACAAACCACTGATTCAGATGTCCATGAAACTGAGGCTGCATATGTTTACAAAAGGCTGTTTAATCAAACAGCATTTTACTTTCTACAAATTCATTTGTAATTTGGTGAATTTTCACCAAATTAGCAAGATGCCAACAATGACAGTTGGTGTGACATGACCTCACTCTCAAAAATCATGAACAAAACTATGTCACTAAGGTAAAACAATAAAAAAAAGAACAAAATCAAATTATATACAATTTTAATTTCAACAAGGATAAGCAGACTTGTACCAATCACAATGTATTTTGTACAGCGAATTATTGGCTAAATAAATAAATAAATAAATAAATAAAGGTCAATGCTTGCTTTTAAGGATATTATTGCTAGCTTTGTAAAATCTGGGTCCTGAAGCAAAACCAGTCAAAAACCACTGATTCAGATGTCCATGAAACTGAGGCTGCATATGTTACAAATCAAATTCGTATCTATATGATGGTGTATCTTGTTTTCATATCAGCATCTGAGCTGTCAGTCAAAGAGCTTTTCCAGGAGGAGGTTCACATATTTAACTCAGACCAGCGGATGAAGTAATAAATTAAAACACCATTAACATAAACGTCAGTGTTTTAAAGTATAATTCATCCTGTACTGATCTGGGGAAAGATTATACTTAAACACACACAAAGTCATAATTGCATTGCACAGGGTTAAATGTTACCTCAATCCTTCCGTTACCATGACGCCCTCTGCAATGCAATCATCCACGTTACCCAACGTCTCCCCGTCCCGCTCCATCCCAGCAGAAACACTCACCCTCCACACTCACTACCCTCTTTCCCAGCATGCATCATGCAGTCACATGCATCACAGGACAAGCAACAGAGCAGCCAACACTGAAAGCATCATCTAGTTGTTTCATTCAGCTCATTCATTTAGGTTTAGTAGTGGTTGCTGTCATTGAGAATCAATCATAGATGGACTACTGGATAAAACAAGAGCTCGATCCAGATTCTCTGGTCTCTCAATGCAAAAAAGATGCAGGCTATTGGTTTAGGTTAGAGCAGCATTCTCCAGAAAAAAAAAAAGAACAAAAAAGGGAATGGCTTTGTGAGTTGTTGTTGTGAAGAAGATGAGCTAAGAGTGAGGATTCGGCTACCTGCTGTGAAAGGGTAATACTTTAATGCTACGGAAGATAAAGAGAAAACAGTGGGCTGCCAGAGAGGAGTACCGGAGCAGGAATTGGTTTAGGACTGATAGCTTTTACAGGAGGAATTTGGATGGTTGAGATGGTAATGATGAAAGAGACAGGACAGAGACAGTGACACCAAATTTAAAGAGAGCTCAAAAGCTACACGAAAATCCAAGGGTGAAGGAGAATGAAGCGAAAGATAAAGCTAGAGGAAACGTAAGAATAGAAAGCTCTACCACAGGCTGGTCACATTCTCAACAGGCGATCCTCTATTATGGGCCCTAATGTTTGACAGGGAGAAAGAGGGTGAATGCAATGGTCGTGGTCACTGTTCTTCATTCCACTGAGGATAGGGGGCAACAGAGACCCCATTAGACAGTAAGTGACCTGTCTGATTGAATACACAGAGATTGTTGGTCTGCCACCACATGTTTAGGTTGGTGGAGATCACCGAACACTCTATGAAGCAAAATATTTTACGAAATGGGAGATCAAACGGGACAGAGAAAAATGAAGGGGGAGGGGCAAAGGTAAGAGAAAGGGGATCCCAGACTTGTTGAGGGCTCATTACGGGCGCAGATCTCCTTTCCTGCATTTTTTAAGCTGTCGTTCACTGACAGAAGGGTGAAATGTCAGTGTACGGTTGCAGACAGACAGAGAGAGAGAAAAAGAAAGAGAGAAAAAGCTAAGGGAGTATTGTGTGGGAGGGGCCAGTGGCCTGGAAGGTGGGGCATGCAGATGATTGGCAGAATGTAAAGAGGAGGGGCTGGAAACAGATTAGAACTGCATTGACAGAAGAAAGAGAAGTGGGAAAAGGATAATTTGTTCAAAATAGTTGCATTGTACCAAAATGACGAGATTTGTTCCGTTGTAGTGCCATAACGCTACCCAAGGATTACATGTGTGTGTTGTTGCGTATGTGTGTGAATGTGTGCTTATCTGTGTGCAAGCGAAAAGAGAGAGACAGAGAGCTGGTCCCAAGAGGAAAGGGTCCCTAAGAGAGCGGCATCCACAGAGCTGAGGGACTCGGAGGACTAAAGTCCTTCAGGCCTTCCTACCACTGCTGCACACGCACATTTGGGGGTGTTTTTGAGTGTGTGTGTTTGTGACGATGTGAATATACAATATGCATGTGTATGTGTTGACATGCGTCCCAATTTGCGTACTTATGCACTATTCTATGCCATTTTGTAGTAGTGTGTTCACACTGATAATTTCAAAAAGAAGTGCATTTCAAATACCCACATGATGCACTTATTTAACCGAAATAACGAAATGTGGAATGTTGGACACTTCATGCTCTTAACTGTCGCCACTTTCTTAACATAGCAAAGTTAACCAGCTCCCGATGCTGGATTACAAACTAACCTTATATAAGGTAGAGGACATAGTGCATAGTATAAGTGCATAGTGTGTAGTGCATCATTTGGGACACAACTTTTGTGTTTAGTTTCATACTGCATCTCAGATCTGAAATTCACTTATTGATCACTGCTGTACATTAAAGCATAAGCATTTTGCTTTAATGTATTGATAAAGATGTAGAACGTAAGAACAAATCTGAGACCGTTACGTTTCATTCTTTGAAGTTTTAATGAAAGCTATGAAAGTGTGCGTTAGTGGTTTTGTGTGTGTATGTTTTCATACGGTGCAAAAGTGCTGAGAAGGTTTGTCCGTTCCTGCTTCCCTGTGGATCGGCCCGCCTCAATCTAACACCCTCGAACCCAGCCCTGCCACCAGAATCACAATAGCGCCCTCCGTCAGACAACGAAGGAGGAAAAGAAGGAGAGAAAATAAAGAGAAAACACCAAAAGTACAGACACAGCGCTGGCCACTCGGAGGCCCTCTACCTTGTAGGCAACCCGTGCAGGGCACTTCTTTCCCAGGCCTAACGGAGGAGACATGTGCCTGAGCATCTCATACATATCCCTGAAACTGATTCTGCCACTGGGCAACCGAAACAAAACAAAAACCAAAGGAAATGTGCATGGGAGAGAGAGAGAGAGAGAAAGAGAAGAAGAAAAGGGGTAAATCAAAAAAGAAGGGATCAGGAAGGAGACGGGGAATTGGGAGGGGAGGAGAACAGAACAGAACAAAAAGCAGGTTATTGGCCTGTACGAAAGGAGTGGTTTGGTAAACTAGGCTGCCGCAAGACTAATGTTGGTCATTTGTGGGTAAGGGGAGGGGGAGGTGGAAGGTGGGTGCTCAACGTCTGAGTGCTAAAATTGAGTTCTATGCAATGGGGCAGGTTGCATAGAAGAGCAAGCAGGCTTTAGAACAGGCATAAAGTCCCGCTGCTGGCAGGGCGTTGTAATGAAGTTTAATGTCAATGCAGTTTCTGTCCCCCTCCACCCAGAACAATGCACGCTACCATACCAGCTAGGCCTAGCCATGCCTCAACAGCAAGCAAAACAAAAATCAAAGATGGCTGATTCGTTTTTTTTTGTTTGTTTGTTTGTCTTTCACTTTAGTGGTTTTCTCGTTTGCTTGTTCCATACACACTAGTGCACTAGTTCATGCTCCTGTAAGTGTCGGCATTGTCCTGCACATTCTCATTGTCATATCAAGTAGAATGCAAGTAGAAATGGTGAGAATACAAAAACATTGTTGAAAAGAAAAAGAAGAGGTAAGCGACATTCATTGCATTCTGGATGCTAGCAGGTAACATTAGTTTTTAAGTGGAAGTCAAACCTTGCAGGCCACCCTATGAGGACATTTCTTGCCTAAGCCCAGAGGGGGGTCGATAACTCGCAATAAACTGTACATATCCTTATAATGAATGCGCCCGCTGTAAGAAGAATACAGGGAAGTTAGAGAACACAACTCAGAACAGAGACATCGGCAGGAAGAAGAGCACAAGAACAGGAAGAGAAGCACAGAATCACACACACATTTTCTTATTTGCTCATCACCCGTTAGTTAGTGCCGTCAAATCTGTTCGCACACCTCCATATTACTGCTGCTCACCCGTCTCTACTTCACTTCGTTTTTTCTTTTTCCTTACTTCCTTCCATTTTTCAGCTTGCTCTGTGCTTTACTTTTTCTCTTTCTCTTTACCATGCTTATTTTCCTTTCTTCCTCCCTCTTTTTCTTATTTCCTTTTTCTTTTCTGTTTTCCTCACTTGCTTTCTATTTTTATTTAATCCCTCCCTCTTCATTAATTTCTTCCTTTCTCTTCTACTTATTTCCTTCTTTTCTCTTCTACTTAATTTCCCTTAATTTCCCTTCCTTCATCCTTTCTTTCTTTTCCTTCTGTCCTTACTTCTCATATTTCCTTTCATTCTCTTCACCATCATTTCTTGCTTCCTTCTTTTTGTTTTCCTTACTTGCTTCCTCTTTTCCTTCTGTCAGTTGTATTCCTTCCTTCCTTTCCCTTCTACTTTCTTTTTCCCTTTCTTTCTCTTTCTTTCCTTCCTTCCTTCCTTCCTTCCTTCAGTTCTCTTATCCATCATGTCTTTCTTTGATGTTTCCTCACTTGTTTCCTCCTTCCTTGATCTTTTCCTTTCATCATTTGTTTTCTTTACTTTTTTAGTTTTTCTGCCTTTCTTTTGCTCTCTCTTTCATCTTACATTCTCTTCACCTTTCATTCTTTCTTTCTCTTTTCCTTCCCACCTTCTACTTCCTTTCCCTTCCTTCCTTCCTTCCTTCCTTCCTTCAGTTCTCTTATCCTGTCTTTCTTTCTTTGATGTTTCCTCACTTGTTTCCTCCTTCCTTGATCTTTTCCTTTCATCATTTGTTTTCTTTACTTTTTTAGTTTTTCTGCCTTTATTTTGCTCTCTCTTTCATCTTACATTCTCTTCACCTTTCATTCTTTCTTTCTCTTTTCCTCCCCACCTTCTACCTCCTTCCTTCCTTCCTCCTTTCCTTTCATCCTTTGTGTTCCTTTCTCCTTTTTTCTCTGTCTTCCTTTCTTTCTGTTTCCCTTCCTTCCTCTTTCCCTTTCTCGTGCCCTTCTTTCCTCCTTCCTTTCTCTCTTTCTCCCTTTAACTTTACCTTCTATTGACTTTTCCTTTCAATATTTCGTCCTTCTTTCCCTTTTTCCCTTTTTACTTCATCTTTTCTTTTCTTGCTTCTTGTTCTACTTAATTTCTCTTCTTTCTTTTTTGTTCTCTTTCCTTTTTGCGTTCTTTCTTGTCAGATTGATTCTGTGAAAACTCTCTGAAAAACTCTCTCTCCTCAATTTTTTCAGCATAATTTTCCTCGGTAAAAAGGCTTTAATCCTGCTTGCATGTTAAGATTCAGTCTTTCCTATTCTTCTCTGAATATCTGATTAACTCTCGGTTGCCCGTCTACATTACTGTCTAACATACAACATTAGGGTGACAGGCACTGGAATGCAGATACCAGGAAACTTAGCGTGTTCAGTAGAAGGGCACAGTAAGTTTGGCTTGCAGTATGCCGTATTCCAGAGTGGGAGGACTGGGACTCACAGAAGGGCATGTAGGAGGGTTTGGGGGGGATTGATGGATTTTAGCAGAGCTGAGAAGCTCAAATCCATTATCCCTTTCTCTCAGCTGGTGCTGTGGTATTCTCCTCCCTGTTTGGTCCGAGGTAGGATACAATGAAGCCAGGCTCTGAACTTTAAAGACTGTGCCAGAGGCCACGGCTCTACTCCGATTTAAAAAATGAAGCGTTCCAGTCAAACACATAAGAGAGGGCCAGTGTGTGCTGTTATAGGACAGAGGCTACATTTACAGGTGTGGAAATGTATAGGTAAACACATGTAAAGCACACCTGTCTTTCACACAAGACCAAAAAGTGTTAAAATAGCCTCTTAAAAATGGTGTGTCCAGCAAATTTAGGGGCCAAAGATATTCAAAAAGTTAGGGCCTGTTGCATCCAATTCTGCATTTTAAAAGATTGCGTGGTCTTAACTTTCGATTAATTACCAAGAAACATGTTAATCACAATCTAATGGTATCTATTCAGTGTGTATTAATAAGTTTAGTGAAAGTTAAATTATAAAAATTATAAGCTCATTTAATTTATAACTTCACTTCAAGTTACTAAGTAAAAACATTGAAAGAGTGTGTTTATGTGTGCAAGTACATGGGCTCACCAAGCAGCTGGATCATACTCCGCCCAGATTCTCACATACTCGTCCAGGTGATGGGGTCCCAGGATAGAGGAGTCACGTGTCAGGTACTCAAAATTATCCATGATCACAGCCACGAACAGATTCAGCATCTACACACATGTAAATTACAGGCCTAAGTAGCCAAATCTGACAAGTCGAGCTGTAAATTACACACCAAATGTACATGAGACTGTTATTTCTTCGCTTTTAAGCAATATTAAAACAGTACAATCATGGATGTCACGTTGTATTAAAAAAGTGGTCAGTGTATAGTGGAGAAATTATATATATATATATATATTTTTTTTTTTTTTTTTTTT